CCCTCGGCGGGAGCGCTGCCGCGCTCCTAAGCGGCGCACTGTAGCAGTGCGCCACCGGGCCGGCCCAGAGAACTGTATTTTTATTTGGATTATTTTGTTCTCATTCATGCTTCAGGGACATCCCCTCATCCTACTTACCAGGGATTTGCTGAATAAGATCAGCATTTCTTTCACTTTCTACTTCATAGTTGTGTTTCTAGATTTTTTATCTTTTCCTCTCTCTCCTTTAAGTATAAAAATAATAATAATAGAACCAATAATGAAGCCCCATCATTTCAACCCATCTTTATGTAGCAGCTAAAATAGAATGCTTTCAGAGGGGCGTTGTGGGAAAGAACACTGTGCCTCCAGCACGCCTTGCAGCAAGAAACCACAATACTGTAGTTAGGAAAGAGCTGGGCATAGCTACAGACAGGCTCCTCCACTTACCACCTAAGGCATCTCATGCAAATTATTTGGCCTCTCACTGAGGCTCCACTTTCTCTTCCATAAAATGGAAATAACTTAAGTATCTACATCAGAGGGTTACTGAGGGAACTAAATGAAAGCATTCCAGCAAATTGTCTGAAACAGTTCCTGGTACATAGCAAACAAACAATAAATGTTTTCTATTTTCAATGTGATGATGATGATGATGATGATGATGATGATGATGCCATCCTCCAAGTTATTAAAGTTTTATTAAAGGTTATTAAAGTTATTAAAGGTTTAACAGAACCTTCAGAATAAATGAAGGAGCTTCAGGTATTTAACCAGAAGAAGAAAATACTCAGAAGGCAGTCTTCAGACATTTGCTGAGCTTTCACAAGGAGGAGGGTTTAGAATTCTGTGCCTGTTGAACCTGCACTGGTGGGAGGGCTGTTCAGGAAAGTGCATATGTCAATGTGCATGGAAGGTGTTCTAGCAGGTAGAGCTATACAGCTGGACAACAGTCTGCTGGAAGACTGGGTGAGCCTCACACCAATGAACAGGGGGTCTATATGAGTTTGAGTGATTGCTCTGAAGGGCTGCTATACAGGGGTATGATACAGATACCCAAAGGCGGGACAGAACAAATCAAGCCGTGAAGTTCCTTCTAAACTGAGTGTCCAATTCTTTCAGAGTATGCACTATTGAGTCATTTTATCTGTATCACTATTTTCTCTTCCAAAGCAAAATTTATTTTTAGCTGATCCCAATTCCCTCCAGGCAATAGAGTCTATGGATTGGGGTTAAGTTTCTGTTGCTTAAAGGAACTCTGCAGACTATATTCTCAGTCTTTTTTTTCTAGCTTGCTTATCATTTTCTTTCTCCCTTTTGTAGGGGATAAAATATTCTATTCTTGGTCCCAGCCCAAAAGGAATTCGGGAAGAGCATTTTTAGAAAATTGCGTCAAATCATTTCTCCGTCTGGCAAGGATACAAAGGCAGTATTACCTACTCCATTTAATGCAACTGAAAACAGATGAAGTTTGGGGTTGGGAGTTTTCTGGGAGCAGCTGAAACACAAAACGGGCTGCTCTTTAAAAATGGAAACTCAGTACATGCCGAGCTGTCTCTGAGGCAGAATCTCCTGGGCAATTTCGAAAGAGAATAATGAAGACATAGCAATTAAAAAGCACTTTTCTGCAAAATGTCATTACTGTTTAAAGTTACATAACCATCTCTACAGCAGCGGAGGTTCACACAGCAGTCACAGCCAGAGTCATCTCCCAATGACCTGTGTCCAACAAAGAGGCCCATTGCTGACCTCCTAGATTGGCGCCTGAATCCTGCCGGCTTCAATAGGAGTCATAAATAATTTGGAGGGGGATTTGGCCTGTGGACTCACTGTTTGAAAGATATACAGCTGCCGGCTGTGGTGGAATATATTGTCCCCATAGTTCCCAGAGACACACACACATACACACACACACACACACACACGCATACACACGGAAAGGAAAACTGAGAAAATTAGAGAGAAAAAGGCCACCATTAGTGCCAAGTACATAAATTTTGCCTCACAAAAACCAGGGAGGCAATAGTTGAGAGTTTCATTTGAAAACCAACCCACCCACGCTGAACATATGGAATATTTTCCTCTCAATCTTGTTATACTTAAAAAAAAAAAATCTTGCTGTACTTTGAGGTGGAATGCCTCAGTGGTCCAGAGAGCGAGTGGGCAGTGCACAGGTAGGAACATCGAGCCTCCGTCTTTCTCTTTTCAAGTCTTGCCCACCTTCCACACATACGTCTCACAGTATTTTTTGTGCTATGTAGAGGTTGTGTGCCAAGGTATTATATCTTCTTTTCTCTGTTACATCATGGGATGTCTCTATTTCCTTGCCTCCCTCCTTCCCTTCCGCTTATTTCCTAATATTCCCTTCTTTACTCAGACCACACAAGATGCCCTGCCCTTTTTTCAGTCCCTCCAAAGTGTCAGTATTGTTCTTCCTATAGTCTATGCACTTGCTCTTTCCTCTGCCTAGAATATGCTCTCCCCAGATCTCTGCACAGTCCCCTCATCCTGTAATCCAGACCTTTCCAGACCCAACTTAAAATGCCTCTTC